AGAACATGCACCCATAAATCTCTCAGGTTGTCCCAAAACCCTTGAATAGAAGAACAACGGTAATACAGATCGTTCAAATGAAAGCTTTATTTGGTATTTTCATATAAACTCCACTTCAAGAGCTTGCAGTATTTTTTAATTACAACTGAGAAGCTGTTAAAAAGAAACCAGCGGTTTGTTTAACTTTACAGACAATACTTATAAACTAAAAAAGCGCTTTTCAATCACCTCACTGTTCTTCACTGTACCTCCAGTTAAGCACATCATGAAAATCTGCCGTCTTGAGCCCAGGGTCTGTACAAAGCTTTCTGATGGTTTTTAACACAGACTATTTCTGCTTTTACAAGGAAAATGAAATCTGCATTTGCTGACATTCTCTGGGAATCCTCTTGGGCAAATTTAGCCTTTTTCAGCTTATTATTTGCAACACTTTTTGCTTTGTACAGAAATTTTTATTCAAGCTCTATCCTGAAACATTTCACAAAGCTAGATTTGTTAATCACACAAACGGTTAACATGATTTCTAAGTTAAGTAGTTTAGCAGGTAGAAGGTAAGAGGACTTAAGAGGTAGACTCGAGAGACTGAGGAGATACGGCCGACAAAACAACCCAAGGGTTGCTGCAGCAGATAGCAGGAGGTACACAGACAGCTTTTGTACCAACAAGCAGAAGGATTTAAGGGCTGCAAACCCCATCGGAGGAATGGAATGAAATCTGTTTCGGGGAAAAAGAATTACCAAGAAAATCAAAACAGCACATGTAGTTGGTCTTGAAATAGCTTGCGTATTGTTTGAAAAGAGGTACGGTTGTACTTCGTCAGGGCATGAGGCAAACAGGCAGCAGAAGAGCTGGCCATGAGCTGTGATCTGGAGATACGGTGGCCTACATAAGACCAGGTGAAGCTTTCCACAGAGCTCAGTAGAGCAGGTGATAAGCCGAAGGGGGACGCTAGGGACGCGGCACAACAGTGATAGAGAGATTTGCATATATAGGAATGCTGGAGGAAGACAACAATAATAAGAAAAGTACTAAACAGGGGAGGCACAACTCAAAAAGCAAATCAAAGAAACCAAGCAGCATGAAATATTTTTTTACTCCCTTTCTGAGATGCCAAAATATGCACTGAAATAACATCTTTGGGGGGTGGGGAAAATGTTTTTATACATGCACAGGTTAGTGAAGTTAACTCAAATTCATGTAATGACCAGCCCTCCCATCTTCTAAATCTGAATATTGGGCTTGGATGATGCTGCAGCACAGATCTGGTCTACACAGGTCAAACAAAAACCCCGAACTTTATCCTATTGGGAAAGTCTGGAAATTCCCAAGCGAAGGCTCAAAATTTGCTTTCGCCTCAATAGGAAAACGGATTATTCTATAACCTGGGTCAAATTAAGCAGGTCTCTGCACAGCTCCTGGCATAACAAATGCCCAGTAAAATAATCTTTTTTAATATATGCAACGTTTGCTTCTAAAAGCATCACCAACTTCAGGCAGGCCCTACCACACACACCAAAGACCTGTACTACGAAGCTCTTTCTAAATAGACAAGACCAGGTGAAAGATGAGGCAAGGAAACAAAAATACAGAGCCCTGAATTGATTTGCTCAAAATCCCACAGAAGAAATTGTCATCAGAGATTTCAGTGACTCCCCCTTTCTCTCCAACTCTCCTTCTCGTATTGCTAATAATGTTTATGACAGCCTCTAAAACCAAGGATGTAGTCCTTGCTCAAGGAGCTTGCGATAAAAGCAGGAGAGCAGATAAAAACATGCTGCATGACAGAAAATGGATTAGTCAGAAAACAAAACACTCTTCTTCTGAAACAGTAGAAGGAACATTCCTTTGTCAAAAGCTAGCGCAGCCCAAGGAAGGATTAGCAAATGAGGAGCCTAACTGTGGTAATACCTAGAGGATTCCTATGGTGAATTCCAAAGGCAGAAGATTTTGCAGCGAGAAGCATGTAAGGGTGAGAGATCTGTGCAGAACAGGTGTCCTGGAAAAGCAGTGTCTGCCTTAAATCTCACACAAGACAAGATTTTTGTACTGAAGATAAAATATTTGGTTTAGAGACACAATTAAGGAAATCGATGATAGCATGGTGCGAAATTAAACAGTGGCTTTGGATATATCAAGTTTGATTCAACTGGCTCTTATTATAATCTACACTTAAGGACAAAGAATAAACCGATCTCAAACTGACTTTCAGAGGTAGTGAGGAGTAAAGCGTTGTACTTCTTTGTGAAATGTGGGCTTTAGAAGTCACTTCAGGAAAAGCAAGCGTATGGTATTTAAACCAACTTCACGAGCAGTGAACAAAGACGACATTTCATCTTTTTTCCTAATGTAAATACTCGGTTTGTCTGTTAAACACGGTACTTGACAAAGTTCTTTGGTTCATATTACAACTAACAGCAGCTCCTGAAGGAAACAAGTTTTGAACACTTTTATTTTCAGATGTTTTTAAACATCCGCTCAAGCAATTTAGTTACAGGTATCTTAAAACACTGCCTATGACCACTTCAATGTGACAAAACCTTTCTAAGGAAAGACACACTCACTAAAAGAGGAAAGATGTCCTCTTCAGAGGATAGTAGAAGTGGAGCCTACCAAAAAAACTATACTACTGTATAAAACTGTACTAATAAACAATAATTTTACAGAGATCATAAAGAAATTAATATACTTTAGGCTTGGAGTAACAGAAGCAGGATGAGTCCAGCAGTAAATTTTTAAGAAAAAAGAATTGTGCTTGAAAGGAAAGTGCAGTCAGCTGTTAACTCAGCAGTTGCAAATGGCAAAGGAATAGAAAGGACTAGTTGTACTGGTAAATCACAGGGCACCCATGTCAGGCAGCATGATGCAGTCATGTGAAAGGCAAATGTGGTTTAAGGACGTATCAAAGAGTTATTTCCAATACGCTAAGGAGGTATTAGTGACATCACACGTGGCCTTAATCTTCCTTTAACATAGAATCTAGGCAAACTCAGGCTGGAATGGATGAAGAGAAGAGCCGGTGGAGCACTGAAGGTCCTGTCACACAGGGATGCTTTATGTGATTCTGAAGAGAAAAGACATGATGGATTCAAGAGGAAGAAAAAATACTTAGATGAAAGGCAATACTTGTGTAAATTGGGAGGAAATGAGTGAGATACACTGGTCACAAACACACAGAGGCTTCAAGTTAGAGCAGACTCCTAGCTGCTGGAGTAGTGTTCAAATATGAGTAAGAACAAAACCTGAAAAATCTGGTTTTTTAACAAACCTGACAACCTCTCCTGGGCAGAAAGGATATTTCTGTTTCTAGCCTTGCATGTGAGGTCTTTCATGAGGAGTACATGTTGTACATTCCTGCATGTATGACTGTGAGAGCATCCAGCACGCATCCTGCGCCTCTAAATGACAACCCAGGGCTAGATATTACAGGAGACTTTCACATTTCTCAAAACAAACATCAGAAGAAATACAACCACCCTGATGAAGCCAAAGAAACACATGGGATGACGTACAGCACTTGATTCTCTTCTACGCGCAAAGAAGACATCACAGAATAGAAGAAAGCACTTCAGCTTCCTCTGTAATACATGACAAACCAGATCCCCTGTCTTGCACTCCTTTCTCCGCTGACCTAGCACGTTAACAGTCATTTTCTCAATGAAGTTCAAGTTCAGCAGTTACCAACTCAATTTTGCTGTAGCTGAACTCTGACAACTGTCTTAACTGCACCCTCTGTTTTTGTCTGAGACTCTCCTGAAAAAAACACTGTAAGCTTTAGGAACAGAGACATATTTTTAATCGATTCATGATTTGAACCTTTATGGTCCACTGTTTAATACCTAGAGAAGCAATGAGCGTAGCTGTATTCTTATGCAGACAATGAATCTTGATGATGCTAAATGCAGACCAATCCCACCAAGTGAAGAAATCAAATCTACAATCCTTAAGAATTGCCATCTTGGACAGTATAGCCATCGGCTCTACTTATCCATTGGCTCTACTTATCCATCTTTTGTCTTCCTCTCCTATGGTACTGAGAACAATGAAGCTTCAATACACTTAGCCCCTCTCAGCTTAATGAACACTGCAACTATTCAATGCACTCCTCTTATCAACAGACAAAACCTGTCAACCTCAGAAAGGGTGCTGCATGCTGTAGCAGGGCCAGGTCTTTGGAATTTTTTTTCAGGAAAATATCAGTAGAGACAGAAAGAAAACAAGACCAAAGAAAGAAAACTTGATGTGTAAAAAGAAGGAAAAATTCAGGTAGAGACAAAACCAAAGCAAAATACAACACGACGACACCACAGAAATATCTACTCCCCTCATGCTGTTATTAAAAGTTAAGATTCATCAGGTTTAAATCTTCTGCAGAGGTTTAATACATTTATCATGCATGTACACAAATAATTTTTCAGAACGTCATTTGGGATGAGTGGCACTGATATGACTAACTCCTCTAAAAATAGCTTTCAAATGATCTCTTTGAAATGTTGGCAGTCTCACCACCTACTCTTTTGCAAGTGATTAGCCAAAGGTTAGTAAGCCCAGTATTTCTACTCATTAGTTGGGAAACTACTCCACACAAACAATCTTAGATTTTACTTTCTAGTACATGCCACTGATCCAGTGACTCTGTAAAAATAAATGGTCTGCATCATTTTTGCCAGATGAAGGATCACTACATTCTCCCATACTTAGAAAAGGAGTAAAAAATCTTATGCAATGTATTTAAAACAGCATACACAGAACAAATCGAACTTTGATGTCATGGCTAAAATAAAAAATAAATGTATTTACAATATTGCATAAGTAATATAACACAAACTTCCATTCCAAAATCAATCACATCAAAATAAAACAAAAAAATATTACAACTCACATGTTTTAATACCTATAAATCCTTAATTTCTATCCAACATTTTATTTATAAAAGCCTGTTTAAAATATTAAACTTTTGATTCACTCTACCTTAAACAGAATCTAAAATGATTTCTTAAGTATTACTGATCACTTAGTCTTTGTCTTAAGTTTCTAGATTTTCCATTTTCAAATTTCCTTTTTTTAAATGTTGGCACCCCTTCTGTCAGGTCTCCAAGGGAGGTGACTGTCTTCTCTTTAAATATCACTGTTGCATCTTCTGGAACCTCTAGCACTGGAGGTGAAAGATTTTCACTCTCTGCACTAGGAAGCTCCAGGTCCACTTTTTCACTGGGATAAAAGAGGAAAACATAAAAGGATTAATCTACATGGAGAGAACATGGCTTACTGCAGACACTAACACCCATATTTAATTGTCGAAGCAGCTTTGAGCTAGATGCAGTCTTCTAGTGAAGATCATCATCATGACAGGGATCAAGAAAAAAAAAAAACCACGTTCTTTGTTTCTTCTCTGTAAAAGTAAAAAAAGTAAGACCTCATTCTGTACAGAGCTTATAGCACAGCCCAAGCACTCATCATGTAAGTAGCCCTGCAAAAGACAACAGGTCTGCATGTGTGAAAATTTAAAGACGGTTGAAAGACAGTTGTCAGTCGGTAGTTAGCAATCGTTCACCAACAAAATGCTATTAAGTAATTTTCTGCAAGTGTCCCTCCTTGAGGGCCTGCATGACAGAACAGAGAACACGCTTACCAAATCAGCCAGTGACCCCAAGTTGGGAGAAGCAGCTTTGGAGAACAGGATCACAGCTACTACTGATCTGAACAAATCAAAGACATTGTCTAAAAATGACCAATCAGTTTTAAGGGGTCAACAGCAAAACACTGCGTTTTACAAGAATAATCTGTGGCACAAACATACAATGGAGAACAACTGGACAGTTTGCAGAAAATTGTCTAAATCACAAGTCCATCAGGAATCACACCAGTGTTAACACTGCTGCACAGAGATACAGATTGTATTCCTGGCTGATTCATAGAAGAAATCTTTCAGTACTACTGAGTGTTAGTCTGATGTCAACTCATGTACTACACCTAGTTTCAGGTCCTGTGCTTCAAGGAAGACATGCATCAGCTCAAGCACCCACACAAGAACCATGAGAATGACTGCAAGTCAAGCAAGTCAAGAAACTGTGACTGTTACAGTATCTTGAAAATGTAAATCTCCTGAAAGTGGCTGGCGCTGGACCTAGTCTCAATTCAAAGTAAATCATGAACAACTGCATTTGTCTCATTTATATGTATGTCTCTCTCAGGCCTGTGTGTTAACCTATAGACTAGTATGTAACGTTCAGCAGCTAAAAGCACCTTTCATTGGATAGTGCTTTCTAAAAACCTGAAATAATTTATCAGCTCTGGAGTCAAGGAGCGGTTAGCTGGTCCAATACAGGAGGTGTTATGTGAACATCACCATGACCAAGGAAGTGTATCAGTGCTTAATTTAGAATTTTGACACTGTTCAAAATATCTGCTGAATAATTTAGAACTAAAATGCTGGAGAATGCTGTGAGTATGAGGGAGAAGACTCTTTTCATTCTCCGAAACATAGTTTCTCCAGGCTGCTAGACGGCTCCACAGGAAACTGGCCACAAAAGACAGCATGTTTCACAAAACAAACCAAAACAACACAACCACAACCAAACAACCATCGCAGGCATTATGCAGTAAAACAAACCAAACCAAGCATCCTGATCAGATGCATGTCATGAAAACATCTGTGGTACATTGGCTAGACATGAGAGGGACAGCTTCCAGATTTAAAATTGGCATAACTAGGTTACACGTTTTGTCTTTCATCTCTTTACTTAAATCATTACAGAAAGTATCTCCCACCACATTGTAAGAGCCTCCAGGACTTACCCATAGTGACAGCAGAAAAGGTTGTAGTGGATTTTGTTTTGTTTTTGCTTAACTTTGTTTCGAAATGAGGGAAATCAGGGAACAAGAAAAACAGTTGAACCAGAATTCTTTTACTGCAATACTGGGTGAAAAGACAAAAATTTGAAGAGTCTTTTAGGCTATGTCCTTCAGCTGAACAGTCAGAGTTAGTACAACACCACAAAGAGAGAAATAATTCACTGCTTGTGGAAGTAACTCAGCCAGACATACCAGGCTTACACAGAAATTGCTTGGAGTCTAAAAAAGCATACTCATGATGTCAGCAACTACTGATGCCACAGGGAAGGAATTCAAAGCAATGCTAACCCAGTACAATCAAGATAATGTTGCTGGTGGTCCTAGAAGATGAAGATAGATCTTGAACTCCAGGCAGAGTTAGCCCAACTAATTACTCATCAGAAAGAAACAGAATTTAGCCTGGAAGCTGGAGGTCCTGAGAAAGCTGCCTATGCTGTTCCGAGGCTGGAAGCAGTTGAAAAAACAGACACAAGAGCTTGAGACAGCTGAACCAGACTGTTGAAGGAGACGATGTTGAGGAACATAACCTGATACTCAGCCTCTGAGAAAAATGATGGATGAAAATGATCCTTTAAATCACTTCAGTTTACGCTGTATTCATGGTGAACTTCTACCCTAAAACCAAAATACCACCACCATCCCCCATGGAGAGCTATTAATTAAAATAATCGCTGCAGGAAGAACTGTATTTGGGCTATGTTTCCAATCAGTCACTGCCGTGCTAACTCTGTCAGAATTCAGAAGAAAAAGCTTCAGCTTTTTTCCAGTATTCTGGAAACAAATATTAAGAAAATATTAAAATAGTTTAAAAAAAACTATGGTAAAAAGATCCTCACCTGGGTTCTTCTTCTTCTTCTTCTTCTTCTTTTTCTTCTGTAATTGGTTTCCATTTTCCATAAGGGTTGGTCTTGTTAGGTGCATCACTAGAGGTTTCTTGGGAAGCTGATGTACTCCCCTCTTTATCAACAGTTTCTTGTGGCTTAACTTCTCGCCATTTCCCATAAGGACTTAACTTTTTAGCTTTGGAAGATTTTTTCCCTTCCTCTGATCCTTCACGATTATCTCCTTTCCTCTAAAGAGGAAAAAACCCACCTTAAGCAAAAATGCCTAAATAAAAACACAATGTAGCTTTATTTTATATCTTTTATTTACTATTATCTACTATTCATACTTTTCAACCGAGAGTTACTTGAAACAATAAACTCGTAATAAAATCTTTACACTTTTTCCTTGAGCTTTCATCACATCCAGAGTTGAAATAAAATTTTAAATGTTACAAAAAGTTAAAGTTGGAAAATCCCATCTATCAAGGCTGAAATTAGCAAGGAATAGCCAACACAAACTTACTTAAAACAAACCTTAGCATGTCTTAAGGCAAAAATTCACATACAGCTTTCTGTGCATGCAGATACACTCTCTTTACCGCCAGTACCTGGTAGTAGTTTATAACGGTGCACAGTAATACAAAAGTATGTATTTCAGAATTAACATCTGTCTATGAATACATTTTCCATTTAAACTGTCTCTGCCTGCTCTGAACTACCAGTTCCAGAAAAAATATCTGACCCAGCCAGAGCCATAATCACACCCTTTATATTGTTTTAAATCTGAAGACAAAAATATAGAATTGATACAGATTTTGTACTATATGCTGCCAATGTTGATCTCAATTAATAAGGAAACAACCACGTCATTTTCAGTCAAAAGCATTCCCTGAAGGTCTCTTGGCAGTCACATTTACCAATGAAAGTTTGAAGTCATCCTCACACTGAAATCCAAACCATTCTGTAAATTATTTCAGGGAGATGACACTGACCCTTCTCAGAGGAGATCACATTTCTTGCAAAATTCAAGCTACCCCTGGTGGGCTAGAGGAAAGATCATGCTTTTGATTCTGGAACCATGCCTCTAATGGGCCAAATAATTGAATAAAGACTCATTTTACTATTCAAAGAAGTTAAAACTTCTACTTTCAGTCGTACGGTTGAACCTCATTAGAACGAGTACAGCCTACCACAAGGGATAAAAGAGAAATCATCTTATGCTAGAAGACTAATACTGTATATAAAATAAATCTGAAAACGTACCTTGAAATTTTTTTCTGAACTCTGTGCTTCATTTTCACTATCTTCCGAGTCTGATTCAGATGCTTTGGAATCTGTTTCTGCAAGCTCTTCAGAACGCTTGTCACGCTGACTCTTCTCATTTGAAGATGAAACAAAACCATCCGGTTTCTCCCATGTGGATACTGCCCAAGATGTTTGAACAACCACATTATTTATGTTTCTGACCTGTTATTGCTTTGACAACATTACCTTTCAGAAGCAGTGCTGCCTTATGCAAAAATACAGCAAATAATTCAGCACAAGGCTTTTGCCTTTGTTCAGTATGTTTGTTTTAATAAACATAAGCAGAAAGATAACATTCCACTTCCCAGCGGAGATACAGTCATGACAGCTGAGCTCACTGTTGACAAAGCTTGTTTTAATTAGCGCTTAAGAAAAATATCACACACGGCAAACTGCAGTTCGCAAGACTGTGGTCCCTCTCATCCTTACACAGGACAAATTGCCCTCTAGAGGTGCATATTTGATTTGAGTTGTCCATTGATTACAAAGACAGTATAAGGTAAAGAACAGTAACTACGAGCCTCAGCTCTCTGGGCAGGTAAACCCCTTCCCTGTGCTACTTGGTAACATTGGTCTCTAATTAAGTAGCTGTCAAGCAAACAAGGAAATACAAACATCAATCTGAAAAAACATCAAAGTCTGCACAGGATACGACCTCATTTTCAATTAAAAGGTAGTATTGCAGCAAATGTACTGAGGGGAAATATTTAAATAAAGGTTGACTCAATGGTCTTAAAACTGGTTTTAGTAACAATAAGGCAAAAGTACACCAACTTTCAATCTGTATTTTTATATAAGCTTTCAAATGTAATAAAACTACTATTTTTCCAATTATTTTATCTATTTCCAAAGAAATCCCTAACTGAAAACAACAACTAACAGGTATGCAACTAGATGCATCTTGAAGAAGTAAAGGTGTAAGAAACTGGCAATGAGTGACTTTGCATGAACAGAACAGTCTCTTGGGGTACTGCTGTCATCTAGCTTTAGACTAGTAACTGAGAAGGTTCACTTTCCTAGGTGCCACATAAGGTGCAGCCTTCCAAAGCACGACTTATAGCGCTAAGCCTAGAGATACCAGTCTCCCAAGTTACATGCCTGAGATGAGACACTACGACTATTTCCCTCTTACAAATTTGTCTTGTCTTCAGAGGATGGGATTAGCGTTAACAGAACTGACAAGTAATTTTCAAGCATTTCCAAGACACTTACAGCTATATAAAAGTAAGGGATCACTTTAAAATCTCACAGGCCAAAACTTTACCAAATACGATGATTACAAAGACATTCTTCACGAGTGTCATGTGTCCATGAAGAACTTTAAAAAACAACACAACCAAAGGCATAAAATGTATCTGAACTTAGAAGGCAATGTTTAAAAATAACCAGCATCTCCTTTCCCCTTCAAAAGAAGAAATCACAAATCATTTGGGAAGGGAGTGGCATGTTGAAAACCTGAAAGGTTTTGGTGTTTTTTTCTATTCTTGGCATTGTTAGGAACACCACTTCATACTCAACAGCAGAAGGAAAACTCATAGCCAGCATAAAATCACTTGCTCTCCAGAGAAGCATCACTGACCTTAAAATGATTCAAACAGATTTAGAAAACAGATGCCTGTTCCCAGGGAGTTACCACACAGTTCCCCATGTAGGGGAAAAAAACGGGGAAAAGAAGTAGGAGGTAAGATTCCGGACTGCTATGTCTTATCAATGCTATGTCAGCAAGAGGAGAAGTTTAGGAGATTCTTATTCAGTCCTACATACCTGTCAAAACAAAATCCTGCCACTTCCTGCCTTCCAAACTATAATTTCAATATATATGTAGAAAAGAAGAACTCGTACTTTAGAGTTACAAGTTGGATGCCTAAAAAAACCTTTGAAGCACAAATGTGCTGACAATACACACTGACAATAGAGCTGTAAAAGCCAGTACTGACTTAAACAACAAGTATATTTCAACTAAGGTAGCAGCTTAAAAAACACAAAACTTAGCAATGGCCTTAAAATGCAGTTATTTGCAAAATAAAATGCTTCTCTGAAAACCTTCCCTTCTGAAACAGAGCTTAACTGGAAAACAAGCTCTCCTTACCTCCTGTTTGTGTGTTATAGTAATAGGTATGACCATCTTCAGTGACACCTTCTACCCACTCTGCTGCCTAAGAAAAAGATACAGGAACTAATTAAAAAAGTTTTAAGGATCAGCCAAAGCATCATTTGTAAGACTATTCAACCCTTGAGTATTTTTTGGTTTGTGGTGATTTTTGTGTTTTAAAGCTTGAACCCCTAAAAGCGTTAGAAAGTATTGACTCAAATGAGATTGACTTGCTTAACTTAAAATACTGAAAATGCACATACACAATTTTTTTCAAACAGTCTAGAATTAGTATGAGGCAGTACAGTAAATGTTGCCATGGAGTTCAAATTATTATATAGGCCTTCATTTTACATGTTTTTTATTTTCCAAAGCATTCACCCCTGAGGTTGTAATTTCCTGTTTGTGTCACTGCCTTTAGTAGAGATTCATAAAAAATTTCACTGTAAGGCTCAGAGTTTTGTGAAGGCTACAGAAAACCAATACCAATAAATACTACCACAAATTGAACATAAACAAAAAACCCTTTCTAAAATTTATCCCAAAATAAATCTTCACCAAAAATAATTGAAGAATCAAACTTTGTATGGAAGAATGTATGCCAATGAATTTACTACTTTAGTAAAGCACCAATTTCAGCAAAGCACTGTTTTTCCCTACTGATTAATAAATACATATGAAACGTGGCAGAAGTCACTGGTGTGTCTTTGTGGATGTGTAATTAAAATACAGATGTTTTGCAGAATCAGCCACAGCTAGATAACCAGTCATTACACATGACTTAATATCTTCCTTAAAAACTGGCTTTTGACCAACACTTAGACATACAACTACTTCACAGCTCCTTAGGTATTAATACTGCCCACTCCCCTGTATTGGGCAGGACATCTACGCAGCTTCACCATACGCTGTTTTTGCATTAATAAATGTCTATGTGTGCGTGTATACAGACACACACACATCTAAATAGGCTTTTGCACACACATACCTATACATTTGTTTAATAGTCTATTAAAACTTTGTTGCTTTTTAAAAAACACAACAAAATCAGAAGTCAGAGTTCTCACACACGCTCTGTAAACAGGAAAAATTGTACCAGCAGGTTCAGAGAAGGCAAAGGCAAGAAAAACCTTCAGTGAGCAAGTCTCCTCAAGGTTTTGTTTTCAAAAGTTCAGTGTGCTAGTTTCAAAAAAAGAAGCAAAAGGAAAATTCATTTTATGTAAGTAGAAAGAGGACAAAAACCTAGTCTTAAGTGCAACCTATCCTTTTTGTTAGAGTTAGATCCTGAGCATTTTAGACCTGGTTCTTAGCAGATATTTGACACTAGGCACACTGAGTATCCTACTACATAAATGCTAACAAGCATGATGTAAATCTAACTGATGCTATAGGTAGTCTTCAATACGCCTTTTCATTGCTCTGTTCTCTCCACCTCTTACGAAGGTGCTATAAAACAAGGAGGGTCTGTGAATCTCACTTTCACTACATATTTCAAGCATGCCCTTTCATTTCTGGGCAGTGAGTCCTCATTAGAGTTCTGGAATGTTCCAAATATCTTTAGCTCAGACTAAATAAGGGAGCAATCAAATGCTTGTTTTTAGCAATAGCGAAAATAACTCAAGACACCACAAAGTCACCGAGCAGGGTGAGGGAGGAATGGCAAAATACAGTCGTGTGGCATTAGAGAGATAGCCGAGGCTGAAGGTGTGTGTTTATGATATAGCTGAGATGAGCTTAACTTCAAATTGTTGCCAAGAAGGGAGCTCCTTCTCTCCTCCATCTGCTCTGCCTGCACCGGCATTTCTCCTAATGGGGAAACAAGAGGGCTAATGGCAAGGAAATAAGCCTGCAAAGCACTAACCTAAGCTCTGATGTCTTCACACCCTGAATTAGTTCACTGTCAGGGCAAATATGCACCAAGGACCATACAAGATTTGTCACAGGACCACCTCTTTCAGTGGAAGGCTACAGTAAGACTGGCTTATAAATATTGCAAAGCTACGCCTTGACTGAAAAGATAAAAGCTGAAGTGCTGGTTAACAAGTCGTGCAAAACCACAGGATAAAGGAATCAGAAAGCCAGAGACGCATGTGACGGGCAGCTCCAACATGAAGTGTGCAGTCTCTTGGGAATGAACACTGGATTGAAAAAGCCTGCATTTTTAAGATAAAACACTGTCTTAACAAGAGATGGAATACACACAAGACTTCATGTACACTTTGTGAATTGATTCAACTGCCTAAAAATATACACAATGATAACCATTTTCTCCTCTGACTGTAAGTAAACCAGTACCAAGCATAGGCTATCTTCTGAGATGCAGCAACGTAGAGCTACAGAATGAGAAGCACTCTGAAAAAGCCAGGTTTTTTTGGTCTCCAACATTAGCAAACAAAACTGACTTTAAATCATACTGTACATATGACACCTATCTTGAAAATGAGAAAACGTAACATCACTTCACAGGAGCATTGTAAAATCCCATTTTTAATGTTATGTAGCACAAAAATCCTCAACTGATAAGTATCGGGGAAAGCCCATTAATAATAATAAGAAATCTTTCTGTCTTTGGACTATTCTGCAAGTTTTCCTGTGCTTTAAATAAGGAAAATAGAGTAACATGCTAAAAGGTTGCTTGCATATAGGTTCCATGACTGTAAGAAACCCAGGAAAAAGACAAGTTATCACATAACTGTATGCTAAAGCAAACACAAAAAATTAGGCACTCTCTTTTTTTAACTATCTGACAACACAATTTCAATGTTTCCTGAGATGAAGGAGTCTTAACTATCTAAAATGTGTAAGATTTAATTTTTTAAATTACATTTCATTCACAAAATGTTGAACAGAATTTATTCAGGATTTCCGAAAAGCTTTCTATTTTATCGGCTGAAGCACCAAAAAAGCATATTCTGTAAAAACACAACCACCACTATCATTTCTCTTCCCTTGATAAACAAATTAGCCAAAAAAGATTTCTATAGTAAAATTTCAGTTTTCATCAAGTATATCATAAAACATTCTATATACTCAAATTATGTTTTCCTTAGTTTACTAAGAGCAAACAATTTATCTTCTGCAATCAGAAGACTTGCACATTACTTGGCTTATTTCTGGTAAGTGTTTACAGGGACAAAGAAAAGTATGAATAACAGTATTTGATTACCATTCGCGAGTTTTGAGAGTTGCCTTGGAATCCTTTAGGTTTCTCCCACTGTGATTCTTAAAAAACAAAAACATATTTCACCCATCATTCAATTCTGTTTATGTTTCATAATCTTTAGAAAAAACAGATGCTATAACACTGGTGTGTATGCACTAACAATATAGATACACCTTCCTGGAATATAAATTATCCTTGATTAAACTATGGTATGAACAATAAACCAAAGTATCATAATTACAGTTGGCTTTACTGGGACTGACCACCTTGCAGACTCTATTAAACTATGGCTGATACATAGATACTGGAATTTTGGTACAAAAAGGGGTTTGTGTTTTTTTTTAAATGGTAGCATAGGCCAGAAGAACCTAAACACACACGGTTTTTACCATTTGGAAGTTATCTTGTATGAGGAAAGACTACAGCAAACACTAATGTCAATCCTTAGATTTATAAGAAACAGTTTGTAATATTCTCATTAATCATGAAAGAGGGTTGCTTTTATGCTCTGAAGTAGATCCTAACACATAGCCCCTCAACAGAAGTCAGACAGTTAGATAAATTCTGTAAATGTGGAAAGAAACAATCAGACAGCAATCCATAACCACTCTCATTTACTGAGGTGCATTAAAGTTATTCCACATTCCTGATCAAAAAGCTTCTTTAGGAAGACTACAGCTGCCTTTTGTGTACTTAACTTCTGAAAGGCTAAGCATTTCCACAAATTGTGGAATTACTGTATTTTCCCATTATTAACAAACAGCAAAACCGGTCTGAAGTTCTGGATGCCTAAGTCTTGAATGCTAAATATCAAAACTCCATCTAATTATTCACTTTTTAATAATCAGCTTACTACTGAGAGAGCAGAATAGTAAAGACATGCAGGTAGTCTTTTCTCATTTATATCCAATAACTATATCTGCATTTGCTCCTCACTAGTTTTTACCTCCTGTTCTGGTGTTGTAGTAGTATGTATAGCCTTCAGGAGAAAATCCTTGCACCCAGTCCTTTGTTTCAATTTTTGGTGGCATTGAGGTGTCCTGAGACATCTTTTTTTTCTTTTCTTTCTTTTCCTTCTTTTCCTTCTTCTCTTTCTTTTCTTTTTTTCCTTTAGTTTCCACTGTGTTACTCTGTGTTTTACTCTGTGTCGAACTGGGACCTACATCATCTTAAAGAAAATAATACTGCCTTTTATAAAAAGAGTAATAATCTGAGCTTAAATATTAGTCACTCTTGAGCAACAGCAAATAGGAAATTATCTTATGAGTATTTTCACTCATTTCTATTACACGCATAGCAGGTAAAATTAAAAGATTACATTCAAAAAATCTTGCATTGTAGCAATACTATAGTGTCATTGCAGGGGGGTTGGACTAGATGACCTTTAAAGGTCCCCTCCAACCCAAACTATTCTATGATTCTATAAGAAAGTTCAAATATCAAAAAAATGAGTAACATAAAGAGAAAAAATGTAAGGACCAATGAGCTCTAACTAAACAACAATAAAAAAGAAACTAAAAGAGTTATGAAAATTTTCTACAGGAGCTTGAAACCACAAACTTCTTAAAAAAGGATAATATGTCTTCACATGGACAGAACAAAGGTACTTGCTGAACTGCAAGTTGAGTAGGAGATTCTCATCTCCACTGCTTGACATCAGTGGGAACCCAACCTCTCCTACTCGGTAAGCACTTTTGTCTCCAACTGGCAAAAGTGAAACACAAAATTAACTAAGGGAGGCTGCACTGCTGATTCAAAGCACCAACTACAGCCTATTTTTTGTTATCTCATTGTTTAGTTTTGCTCCTTCAAATTGGATTGTTCCACAGAACAGAGGATACTGTAGCTAAAACAATTCTGCACTGTAATTTCCATTACTGGCAATTTGCAGACTCCTTTTTTTTTTTTTTTTTTTTTAATGAGCAAACATAGTCCTGAAGGCCTCCTCTCATGTTCGTAAAACCTAATTTAAGAAAAAAACTTTCCTTTTCAATATTCTTTCAATTCTGTCTTTAGCCCTTTGGCAGCTATATGAACTACCTGGCTTAATTCCAAGCCTTTTCAAATCCTCTTGATATGCTTTCATTGCAGCCTCCTCCATTGCTGCAAATTCTTTTGACATGTTTTCTTCTTCTTTTGCTTTTTCCAAGCTTTTCTTTTTAATCTAAAACAAAACAAAAAAATCAAGAGAATAAATTAAACAAGTCTGATAATGAAAGAGATTAAAAATAAGCATTCGTGCAAATAAGGTATTTGGGTTACCTCACTAATTCTTTTTGCCACATTTTCTTTATGATTCTTTCCTCTTTCATGAAACTCAATGCTCTTCAAAGCGAGAAAAAACAAGAAAATTAACACATATTATATAATATTAATTTAGTTAATTTTAGTTAGTTAAAATTTAGTTACACTAAACTTAGCTGAACAAGCCTAAATGTAACCTGTTATGAAAACACAGCAAACAGTACAGCTATAAAATGGCTATAGGAATCCAGGGATACTGAGAAACACTCAACACAGAAATTATGAAAAATCAGTAATGCTCCAAAATGGTATCACAAAATGTCATAGTCTGTATTTATAGGATTTAAAATTTTCCAAATAATAGTGTTAAGCACACGTGTTAAGAGACAAGTAACAGGGAATCTGGACTCTCTCTCCATGCTATCCTTCCAAGCATCATCCCTTGATTTTTTTTTTTTACCCTCTCTGTTTTCATGCAAACTTTTAAAAACCATATGGCTTATTTAGTGTTCCAAATACTAGCTACAGTCCTTAATTAGATTATGCTACACTCCACAAATACACCATGAACTTAAACTAGTCTGCAGGTCCACAAATCTGAGAGAGAGAAAGAGGAAAAGGCAAAGTGGGAGAGTTGGGTAACTAAGGACAACAGAACAGTCTGCAAGCCGAAAAGCTGCCAGAAAGACCAAAGCCAGTAGGAACTAGAAGCTCAGCAGCTCTACAGGTACAACTGTGGAAGTCCTCATGCGGTTCTCACAAAAACCATCTGAGCTCATTTAGATGTTCAGATGTTAGGTGCCTAAGCCTGACCTAGTAACCCTAGAATTTCTTTGCATGAACCGATGTGCAGAGGATGCACATTCAGGGGATGATTCATCTCTATTTAAAGACAGACTTTGTAAGTTATTCAAATCCCCTCCTTTAACGTGTATTTGTCTTCACTGACTACAAGAAGAAACCTAAACCAATTAGCTCACACTTGCCATTCTAAATTCCAGGTATCTAACTGTAAGCTAGATGAAGCTCAGCTCCAAGAGTACCCCTGGCATTGAGTTAGGAATGCAAAACAATTTCTAAGTACGAAACCAATGGGTCCAGTAGTCTGCAAAAGGCATCTGCAAGTCAGAAACACTTTTCTGTAACCCAGTAACATTTCTGTGGGCTGCGTGAAATAAAGAAACCTGCTTTAAATGCTTAGAGCACTGGCTGTACCAGGCCTACCATATATAAACAGTACGTATACCAGGTTTTGCTTTCTGCTTGCATATGAAGGCTCGAACAGGCACAGACAAAGTTTCAGGACAGATCAAACATTAAGTTACAGAACTTGAAGAAAAAGCAGGGTCAGATATTTCAGTTCTTATCTGTGCTGTCAAGTAGAACAGCACACACCCTCTTGTATGCTGGTATCTGGCTCTCATGTAATACATTTTAAATCACAAGTATTACAAAGGCATTTTTAAAAAACAAATTTCATGCATCAATAGATTAGTATCAGAAGTGATGTTAAAGGTCTGTAATTCAAATTCCTAGTATTTCAAAATCATTGACATAGTATAGTAGACCATCATACAGGTCTGTTGTCTGCTATCCAGCACTTGCAGTAATCGCAGAATTTTTTTGGCTGAGATTTCCAGTAATCGGCCCTGGGGAGAGGAAAAAAAAAAAAAAGATGTATAATGTGAAACAATAATCAAAGCCACAGGTCTTTATATATATAAGTATAGCTTCAGAAACAAAATTTAGTCTTCTCTGGGTAATTGAGTGCTAAGAGATTGGTTTTCTTTCTTTTTTTATTTTAATTTAAACAAAGTATGGGGAGCAAACAAGAGTAGCTATACTGACTACTGTGTCCCATAACGCACAGTTCAGTATTGGGATTGTGCCCATCTGACCCCTGAAGAATGTAAAATTTTTACAATGAAGGTGATGCTGCAAGAATCAGAAATGTAAGTCAAAGCAAGACAGAGATAAACAATCAGCTCTAGATACCCTAATTAAACACAGAACTGTCAGAAAAGTGTAACTTGCACTGTTTTTCATAAAAATGCATACAATAAATGTTTCTAAGGGTAAAACTTTAGATTTAATGTCAAAGTCTCCTTTGGATACTGTACACAGTGAGGTTAGCAACACAAAGGTGCAGTTTTGGACAATGTGAGCTACTGTGGAGAATCCTAGAACAGATTCTGACCTTTGGGGTCACAGACACAGCAGTAAATTGTTTGGATGTTTCAGTGTAAAAATGTGAGTATTTCAGAACCATGCAATTTACATAAATTGCAAATGTTGTGAGGAAATTGGGGAAAACTCCTCAGAGCTCAAAAGTTAGTACATAAAAGTATTTAACAATAAAACAAACAATCCCTCCAATAGCTGTTTCTTCATCAAAAAGTGCTTTCTAATGTCAGATGGGTCTTGTGCAGAAATAATTCCATTTCTCGTTGGCTTGCAGCAATAGATGCAATACTTTGGTTCAACAGAACACATTCCAGCAACAGACTTCTATGTTTTTCACTTAAAATGAAAAAGAATGAGGGGCAAAACCAAAACCAATTCAAGATTACAGTGAGAACATTTAAAAAGATGAGTCCAAAAAATGAATCTTTGCCTTCCATCTGAAGATCAACGTACAGAGTTCCATGATATTTTTATTCAATAAAAACAAAACTTCTTCCATGCACAACAATAGCACCCTCAAACCCTGATACATGCAAGCAGATCTTCTACAACAGAAACAGACCTGATCAACTCTTAGAATGTAAGCAGATATCAAAACACACTCTCCCTCTTGTGCTCAATGTAAAAATACAACTTCTAAGAGGCTACTATTATTTAAAAGTGCAAGTACGGAGAATATGCTCTGCAAAAATACATCGACCTGCGTGCAATACTGTGTTAGCAATGCGTAGGTTTTCAAGCAATTTTCTGGAAAGCTAGAAAGAAGCAGCTGGGCTTCCCCCTCTTTAAAGAGAAATGTACTCATCCCTAAATGGTGTACTTTAGAACTGGGTTATTACTTAGTTACCCATTTAATTAAAAGGCTTTTGAGATTTATATATCAAAATGTACTAGGACCAAAGCCTGGGAAATCAAACATTCTGGCTGGAAAACCATCTGAGTGGGAGTGACAAATTCAGAACTCAGAAATACCCCGAGGCCCTCTTTCCTATTTGAGCTATAGCTCCAAAATTGTCTCGAAATCCTTTGACACCATCCAAGATAAATTTCCAGCTAAAAGCTGGGTTACCCTTCCTAAGGCAATAAACCAAGCCTGACAGAAAACACATAAATTGTAGAAGAGCCTCACTGCATGTTTCGGAGGTGCAAGAACATCTGCGTATTTCCAAGTTTAACCTAACTGGGCTGGCTCGCTCTCTTCAACAGAATCAAGTGTAAGTACTAAAATTAAGACTGTACAGCTGCACCCACCAAAAGTCAAGACCTGAGAGTGTGATGAGTTGTATTTTCACAGCTATATTTTCTATTGGTTTCTTTCCTAAACGCTACTGGACATCACATCTGTCACAAACCACTGTAGCTACACAGAACATAATCGTGCTGGAGAACCTGAGGGCACACCCAGGGCTCAACCACAAATGCAGCTCTTGACGACAGAAGCCTTTTGTCTTCATCTCCTATTGGTTTTGATAAAGATTGGAGCTGGTTCTCTGTTGTTACATATAAAGTACACATAAATGACACTCTGTGCAGAAGACCTGATATCTTGGGAACCTTAAATCCTGCGCTTCATAATTAACAGAGTTAATTGTGTAAATTATGATCCCTATTCTGTGATTTATGAGCATGAGAAGTGTTAGACACTGAATAATTCTCTTAAAGATTTTCCACCTGAATTCATACCACGCGAAAAAAGAGCAAGCTCAGATGAAATATCCACCAAAACACATCTGCCATTGTAACAACAATGGAGCCTGCAAAGCACCAGTGGTGCTGCAATGAGAGCAAACCAAAGAGGAGTGTTTGGAAAGGAGCAGCAACTGAAGTGAGACCCTGCTTCAGTGAGATGCTGCAAGTGCTTCACAGGCTCCAGCCTGAAAGTCAGTCCAGATCGATGACAATGTTTAAGTATGTGATTATTTTATTAATCTGTCAAATACAGGTATGAGAGGAGATGCTGTTAAAGTGGTACAGAGGTCTTTTATACTTGAGTAGTACAAATCAAGGGAAACAGTTATTTTTAATAGTCACTGCAGTCAAAACAGTACAGCTTTTAAGACTCTTCTGCACGCACTTATATCAGTAAAGTTAAGGTTGGTTCTTGTTTTCAGCTTTACAGCTGCGCCAGCCTTCTAAGGACCAGAAAGCTGACCAACTAGCCATCACCACCACAACCATCTTTCTTCCCTTCACTAAAACAAAGAGACAGTCCAGAGTGCATAGTCTGCCTTGTCCAGGTTGGCAGGGTTGAGACTTTAGCAATGTACACAATTACCCAGGCGTGGCTATCCAAACAGGAGCTCGGTGACACTGACCCTGAGGGGCACGCAAGTTTTACTGCGAAGGGTTTTACTTACTCCTGGGAAGGGTTCCGACAATGTCTGCTTGGAGCCAGATTTTCCAGAGCTAGCTGAGCAAGTCAGCTTGGAAAATGGCTACTGGGCACACAGGCAACAGAGCGGCACCGATACAGATGGGTACTGGACAACTCCTGAACACACTGCTGTAAACTTTCAGCCAGAGCTGGAAATCCTATACTAACTTGCAAGAAATGCGTGCCTCCTGAAAAACAGTGACTTTCTTTCAATTTTTACTGGTCAAATCACCCAGGACATAATGTGCAACAGTTCAGAGGGCTAAAAGGAAAGAGGGGAGAAAGAGGGAGTGAACCTCAAGCCATTTTCTTGAAGCCTTAATGAGATTACAAACTCTTTGCTGCAAAAGCTGTAGAACGCTAATAGCATCAGTATGAAAACCATTTTCAGATTTCTGAAATTCATTTAAAACTTCAGAGGGAGTGAGAAGATCGGGAAGAACAAACAGCAACTCTGCATTAACAGTGCCCACCACATTTGTATTCTCAAAAGATATGAAAACTCTGAGAAGACACCCAAACTTGGGTATTTTTACTTTGTGTAATTTCTTGATCCATGAGAATCACGCAGCCTGCACTGCAACGCCTGGGTTACGCATTCCTACTGCATGGGAACTACGCGTTTGGGAGCACAGAAGAGGGACAGGTTCCATCAACAACGTTCAGAAAGCAACCTGCAGAGTAACTCCAGCAGTACTGGGGTCCAGGGCCCTGATCCATCAACCTGTGAGCTCCTTCTCCTCACAACTTACAGTGTTATTAATGTTTTAACAGGTGGTGCCATCAGCCTTCCTTACACAGGGAAATTTAAGAAACCATCATAAAGAAGGCTGAGACAGCTTTGCCAAACTTCACTTTGAGACTGAGCTGGAGGTTTTGGTTCCTATCACATACAGGCTGAAATTGAAAGGGAGGAGGGAGGGGGAACAACTGTTCTCAGGTGGTTCTGAACAGGAGGAAACAAAAAATTTGGCCATGTAAACAAAATCTGGAAGCATTTGCTTAGAATAGCTCTGTTCTAAAACACCAGACTTGAAATTTGGCAGGGATGCAGGGGGTTTTATATCAGGGATATACCTGTCCAAATTATAAGCTTTAAGTGGGGAAAAATCATCACACACGTGCTCAGCTGTCACCTTTGCTTTTAATACCTACAACTACTGAAGACTTTACACAAAGTTAGTATCTTCCAGCTTTTTGCAGGTTTGAGCACTGAACAGCCTGTGCATGCATCATCTTGAATACAGGTGTGTGAAGGAAGTAACACAAAGATTCAAGTTCCTGACTACAGAAGGGAAGAAGTTCAATTAGCTATTGTGGCTGGTCTATGACAAACACTATACCAGCCACTCAACAGGACAGTATTCAGAAATATTAATGAATTGTATTTGGGAATGCTGTGTACTTCTAAAGAAAAATAATAGTTCTGTAATGGAAAGAAGTAGAAAGAACGAAAGAAAAAAAGTCACCTATCTTTCACAATAGACCCTCCTCCACATGGGAAGCCATTCCAGAACAGCCATATCCAATTCAAATATTCCAGTAAGACCTAAGAATGCAACGCTAAAATTGGCAGGGAAGGAGACCAAAAAGGAAAAGGTTTTATTGTACTGTCAAGTAGGTCCCAGTGCCACAGCCCTAATAACCCACACTCCCAAATAATTCACAGCAACTCCATTCATTCACAGTGCACTAATCCTACCCTAAAAACTCTTATAGATGCATAACCTCAATTTTTACTTTTTAAAAAATGGTATTTAAAAATAAGGACTCAAGAAAACAGCATCCCTGACGCACTGAGTATATGAGGCTGTCCTTCTACCTAACCTTAGCTGGTTGGCCTTCTAACATACATCGATATGTGGGTTCCTGCAGAGTGGTACCAGATGGGAATTTTCATCCATGTGAAGTGAGGCAGTTCTGTGAAGAGTTTAGTTCTTCTGGCCTTCAAGTTGACTATATTTTTTGCAATCTTTCTGTAAATTCTAATTTACAAGCCAAGTGGCTGCTTCTTTTTATTACTATATTAACCTCCTCTGAACAACATAAAAACCATGATATCCCATAAGACAATCTGAGTGGAGAGCAGAA